ATTGCAAATACAGTTGAAGTCTGAATTATTAGCCGCCCTGAATTATTAGCCCCCGTTTATTTTTCCCTAATTTCTGTTTAATGGAGAGAAGATTTTTTCAACACATTTCTAAACATTTAATAACTCATTTCTAATAACTGATTTATTTTATCTTTGCAATGATAACAGTTAATAATATTTGACTAGATATTTTTCAAGACACTTCTATACAGCTTAAAGTGACATTTAAAGGCTTAACTAGGCTAATTAGGTTATTTAGGCAGGTTAGGGTAATTAGGCAAGTTACTGTATAACGATGGTTTCTTCTGTAGACTATCGATAAAGCTTAAGTAAGTAATAAGTGATTAGCTTAAAGGGGCTAATAATTTTGACCTTAAAATGGTTTTTAAAAATTTTAAAAACTGCTTTTATTCTAGCTGAAATAAAACAAATAAGACTTTATCCAGAAGAAAAAATATCATGCTGTGAAAATTTTTCTGTAGAACATTAATTATTAATGAAATTTAAAAAAAAAATTCAAAGGGGGCCTATATATATATGTATAAATGGTGCTAAAAATAATTAGGCAGAAAAGAGATGTATATGGTAAATCTATTTAAAGATAATGAAAAAATACACATTCAGCATTAAAAAAACTTCCAAGAAGTTAATTTAGGTTTGGAATGACATTATAAGTATTTGATATAAAACTTTTGTCTCTAAACATGTGCCACCTGAATGAACAGTAACATAAAAATACAAATCACACTTTAGCCGCAGAAGCAGACAATAAGCTGAAAATGAATTTCGTGGCTATCACAGAGGCAGACATCCAGGCAAGCCAGCATAAAAATCAAAAACTTATGGGATGAGACCATAAGTACAAGAAAGCCCAGAAAAAATGGACTCCATTAGTACCTCCACATCTACATTAGGCGAGCTTTCTCTGGGGTCATAATCATACAGTGCCACCATCCTCCGCGTCGACACTGCATGCTGTCTTCCACTCCTTTTGTTCCTTTCTGAGAGACAAAAAAAGGACAAAAAAACAAATATATACAAGTGCTGGAGCGATAGTAAAGCGAAATTATCTTTAATAGCTTTTGTTAACTACAAATAAATGAATATCAAAATAAATACACAACAAATGCATAATTAATGAACAACAAGAAAGACAGTTTTGCAGGATGACAAGAATTTGATGTTATTGATCAAAAAAATCTATTGTCCAAACTACTGGATTCAGCCAATGGCATGATTTTTAATTAATTAAATGCTTTTTAGGACAATAATTATACAACAAAATACTGTGTTTTTCCCTGACACGTGCAGCACCTTGTCTTGAATGACTTTAAATAAGTTCCCAAATCATGCACTGTGGAGTCCAAACTAATCTATATTGAATATTTAACCAATAAAAAATGGAAATAAATCTGGAAAAAATGTAACATGTTACTGTCAGACAGAAACCTTGTATCTCCATGTACATGGAAAAAGATCATCATCATCATTCTGTGGATTTGCCATTATAGATATATGTCCTTAAATGGTAAACATGCATTATTATTTGAAATTTTTTCAATGCATACATATTTTTGTCATGACAAGTCTTTAAGAGATTTGGTACAGTAATTCATGTACTCTATGGTAATGTTTTCAGGATTTGGTCTTGGCGGAATAGATCTGCTAAGCTGCCGCTGCCGCTGCTTTAAGTATTGATACAGACCAAGTATGAGACTTTGCTACAGTCAGTATTCTGACAGAGTCTGAGAATATAACACACTGCTGCTGCAATTGTAATACATGTAACCCCATAGAAGTACTGTACACACTAGGCTGGGGTGGAAGAAGGTATCCAAAAATGCACTGCAGAAAACAGCCCTGACAAATTAAAAAATGCAAGCTCATTGGTGACAGCAACCAATCCCCTGAACCATGAAGAATGAAAACAATGTCATGTCAGTAGAGGCAGAGCAACAATAGCGATAATCCCACCTACTTTAAGTTAGGCTTAAAGTACATTAAGGCAGTTGTTTTTGCAGAATAACACCTGACAGGCCTTTTGGCAGCCTGACAAAAAGCAAAGAGCTCTTATATAATACTAAAAGGCTTTATTCTGAGGAATTAACCACTTGGATGTACTTTATCCCACTTAATATATAGCTAATTGCCACAAAATGGAAGAATTAGAAACATAACATTGTTTTGAACTATAATAGTTTAACAACACTATTAAGCTTTTAGTTTTCAGAAATAGAAATGAAAGAATAGACTATACACTAATCTATATGCTATTTAGTCACAAGATGGTGCCAAACAGTCAAAAACAGGACTCCACAGACAATGATCATCTCTGTGATCATCAAGATGATTTAAAGTATCCGGATGAGTCTGTTAGTTAGTTAAACAGCAATGTAAATGCAAACTAGTTTGAGGAAAACTAAATCGAAGTGAGCCAAGCCAAACTGTACGATACGGCACAGTAGAAAAGTGGCTGATAAGTCACTGATAAGTGAAAATGTGTCATATTTTGTCCTGGCCAAGTGTTATTTTCTGCAATTATATAACCTCATAAATATTTATATTTGCATCTAAAAGTTTGCATCTAAACCTCATAAGTTAATATAAGTACAGGATTTTCTTTACGGGGTGTCACGGTGGCACAGTGGGTAGCACGTTCGCTTTACTGCAAGAAAGTCGCTAGTTTGAGCCCCGGCTGAGTCAATTTGCGTTTCTGTGTGGAGTTGGCATGCTCTCCCGGTGTTCGCGTGATTTCCTCCATTTGCTCCGGTTTCCCCCACAGTCCAAAGACATGCGGTATAGGTAAATTGGGTAAGTTAAATTGGCCATAGTGTATGTGTGTAGATGAGAGTGTGTGGGGGTTTTCCAGTAATAGGTTGTGGTTGAAAGGGCATCCGCTGCGAAAAACTTATGCTGGATAAATTGGCGGTTCATTCTACTTTGTAGACCCCTGATTGATAAAGAGAATAAGCTGAAAAGAAAATGAATGAATGATTTCTTTACTCAATCACCATGTCTGTGATTTCTGGCACAGGAAAGCATGTCTTAGTCTACTGTAGCAGTTACCGTCTTTAAAGAGTCTTGCGTAGCACTTTATCTTTTATGACAAACAATTTTAGTCCTAAAGTACAGGAAAAGCTAAATGCTCACATAAAATTGGACAAAAATTGGTTAAAAGTTGCTGAAAATGTATTTGACTGTCTCCATAGCTGTCTCTCTGATGGACAAATCAAATATCACCACCATCCACTAGACAAAAGTCCATTTGAGTACATTTTCTACATGAAACGGTACATGAAATGGTAATCATTTAGTAAAGCATGCAGTGTCTGAAGCCACGGTCACACTAGAGTTTGAGTTTGTGAAATTCTGTCATACAGTGCTGCGAATAGGGGCAGGACTAAACAAGATGATTAGATGTGTAAAAAGCGAGTGATTGCTCCATATCTTACATTTCTGTCATGTTTTGATCTTCTATTGGTCTCCCGTAATCATGCGATGTGTTTTTACAGATCAGAGTTTACCAAGCTTGAACTTTGCAACACAATGACATATGAAAATTTTCACATGAGCTTGTTTTTCCGGTCTGCCACATTCGCATGCATATGAACGCAAGTCTATGGGGTAAAAAGTGCAGCGTGACTGCCACTTGACCATATAAGCCACATCAACAACTTTGTCAACAGTGTTTATTTTATTTAAATTCTGAATTTTTGCATGTCTGAACGTACAAGGTTTCCATCCTACAGCAAGAATAATCAGCACAATTTCTTAGTCATCAATTCAATTGATCATTTGACTGTTTAAGTGGTTCTTCCATCAAAACTCAAGGTGCTTTTAAATAGAAACATTTTCAATGATGGTTTCAGACTTCTGACACCACATCATTCTTTTTTGATCTCCCCTTTTCCCTTTATGAGAACAGATGAATAGATCATGCTCGCACTGAAATGTCATTCACTTGTTGAAGACAAACTTGAAGGTGAGCTGTTAAAAGGCACTTAAGTAAAAAAAAAGAAAAGTAAGAAAGGAGGTCTGAATGAGAAAACGGTTGAAGAAGATGGGGGCACAAACCTCTTTTGGATTTCCGGGACCTGCGATTAACTGAACGGCCATCTTTGAACCTATTGCAGTTTACTTAAAAATAAAAAGTGTAAACCAAGAAAGAAAAGGAAGAAAAAAAGGAGATAATGAAAGGAAGGAAGGCACAGGGGGTTTATCCATTTTTTCAAATTCTGGTGTTCCATTTGATATCTACTGTTGAAAGAAAGTCATATGAGAACAAGAGTGATGACAGAACTTTTTTTTTTTTTAAATTAAAATGAATAAAGCATTTTAAAAACTCCCTTCATTTTCTCCACAGGGAAATAGATTTCTAACAGTAACTGATAAACAGTAACTGAGTGAAAACTCTTTTGAGCTCAGAGATGGTTATCTGATTGCATAGGCTTTTGTTGAATCCATCTGTTTGCATATCTTAGAAGAACAATTTCATATCCCTCTATTGTTTTAAATTTGTGTCATTCACAGTGCTTCATGGGACTGTAGTTCTAACCAACATTGACACTGAACTAAATAGTACTGATTTGTGTCCAATTCTCATATGCAGTTGAAGTCAGAATTATTAGCCCTCCTGAATTAGTAGCCTCCCTGTATATTTCCAACCTAATTACTGTTTAACACCAAGAAGATTTTTAATACATTCCAAAACATAATAGTTTTAATAACTCATTTCTAATAACTGATTTGTTTTTTCTTTGCCATGATGACAGTACATAATATTTTACTAGGTATTTTTCAAGATACTAGTATTCACAACATAGGCTCATTCTGAAAATGCAGCCCTATATACATTTCTGGATAGCACCGAATATGTCCCAGAAGGAAATTTTTTGCAGTTTTTGTTTCCGCAAATCCATCAGAGGCTGCTGTGTAAACTTTTTCAGATCTCAAATTTCTCTTGCCATTCGCAACTGCTCTTCTCGCATAAATCAACCAGAGGCTGCTATCGACTGACTGACCGATCAACTGACCCACCCTCTTTCTTCCCTAAACTTAGCCAATAGTGTTTTCCAAAGCACTGATTGACCCTCCCACCCACTTCAACCCAACTGAGAGTTTTAAGAACCAATCCAGCAAAAAAACATCAAATTTTTACCACATTTCAGATTTTGTCACATTCTCACACTATTATTTACTAGATTGTTTTATTTTTGGCATCTGGTTTGTCTTAATTGCTGAAACCAGTTATTGCCGGACTCCAACCCCGTCATCGTGGTCAACTTCTCTCTGCATCTTAAGTCCTTCAACGTACATGTCAAGCTACTGGACAAACTAGTAACAGCGGGAAAGCAGTCCACACAGAGGTAATCGGTCAGCATGAAAAGAAATGACGTCATACAGCCCCGTAATGTTCATTTTAAAAATAAAACGCAATCATACGTACTTCTGGCAACATAATTCGTGATCTCCGGAAATGTATATAAGCCTACATTTTCAGAATGAGCCTGTGTTGAGTATTCAGCCTTTAAGTGCCATTTAAAGGCTTAACTAGGTTAATTACGTTAACAATTTATGCTGAGTTCAGACTGCATGATTTTAGCCCCGATTTTGACTCGTTTTGAAAAATCGCAGACAAATACTTGAAATCACTTGAAATCATCGGCTGTGCAAAAGTAGCTGTCCGCGAGTCAAATCATGCCATGTGAAATGTGTTCTAATTGAACATTGGCGATCACCTACAGCCAATAAGAGAGCAGCATTCACTAGTGTGGGTATCTGCAGGACAGCAGAAAGTTGGGGGAGAAGTTAAGTTTCAGTTTATTCGGACCCAAGAAATGGAGGAAAAACTTGTGGAAATTTGACAGGAGCACCTGTGTCTGTTTGACATGTCATCTGAGCAATATCACAACCAGGTCAAAAAAGAAAAAAAGTTTGTGAGAAATTGCTAATTCCCATCAAATCCAGGTGAGAAAAACAAGATCATTTTCTATCCCACTAAAAGCTTCTTTCTCATTATGCAGTTAATAACAAAAGATCACATCGTTTCCATGTCACTTCTCACGTGTATTTGGTTGTGAGACGTAGTTTGGACAAAGTTGTCAGCAATTCTTCCTATTGCAAAGTCATGCAGTGTGAAACCCCCTGTTGCCGATTGATCTTGTAGTGTAAACATATATACATATTGCTAAAGGGGAGAAGGGGACTAATATCGAAGTAATATCGAACTTAAAATGGTTTAAAATTGTTTTAATTGCTTTTATTTTAGCCAAAATAAAACAAATTAAACTTTCTTCGGTAGAAAAGTCTTAGTATGGGAAATACTGTGAAAAATTCCTTGTTCCGTTAAATCATTTCAAGAATTCACACTTAGCTCATGACTGATTTATACTTCTGCGTCAAACACTGGCGTATGCTACGGCGCTGACGCATAGCCCTTCGCCGTGGCCGTCACTGACGTGCACCTCTCAAAAAATGTAACTACACGTCGCAACGACGCGTAGCGCAAGCTCTGTGATTGGTCGACTTAGTAGCGCTGACGAGTCGGGGCGGGACCGAGAGCCGTGCGAATGGCGCGAACCCAATGTAGCGATTGTTTACAAGTCTGGAGTCCCGTGAAGGAGCTCCGAATGGAATGTTTTGTTTTGTGTTTACCTCATAGTTAAAGTTCCTGCATGTCCGCCGGTTCCTGCCTCAAAATGAGCGAGTTTGAACCACTTGTACATCCCGAATGTGTTCAGGAAAAGCAAAAAAGTAGTGAAGAAACTCGACACAGAGGAACATTTACACCTCACTGCCAACTAGCGTTTCGGAAGTGTTAATGCAGACCAACAGAGACAGCGCGCAGAAGTATAAATGCACAGCTACGCACGTTGCATGCGCTGTGGGTTACGCCGGTCACTTGACGCAGAAGTATAAATCAGGCTTTATACTTGGAATTGTTTGGCATACTGTCCCTGGAGAGAGCCCTGAGCTCAAGGGATCTTTTGGCCCAGGGCTCCCTCCCTTTCGCAGGGCGAGGGGAGATCAAGCTCAGGTCGATCTCAAAACTCCCTCACTGCTGAGGATAAGGTGAACTTCCTGAGAGTAAAACATTAGAAAAAAAATGTATATAATATAAAATACATATAAAATATAGAGCAATATATAATATAGAGCATATTTGGACAGTGTGTCACGGTTTATTCTTTATTTATCCTTTTTCTTCTACTTATTATTATTACATTGTTGTGTCGTGTTGGAGTTGATTTATTAAAAATATTTTTAGGCTAACTCCACCTTGCACCTGCAGCTCATTCTGACTGTCGGCTTTATAAGCAGACGCTGAGTGTGCATCTGGGTGGCTCTTAGTTTTCCAGCGCTTCTGATTGATCCTCCCGATCTTCACTCTCTTGAGAGTATGACCCGTACCTGTTGAGAATCTCCATGTTTCTTGCCCTGATAACGGTCTGAGACTTCTGTGCACGTCTTGTGCAGCTACTGCTGAGAAACCATGCAGGTGTTGTTGCCGTTTATTTAATTCATGGTTGATCTATGCTTTATCTATGCTTTCTCTATGGTTTATGTTTTGTGTATGTTTGTTTGTTCGTTTGTTTAAGTAATTGTTCTGACTGAGAAATATTGTTTATTTAATGATCTATATTTTTTGTTGCAACCTTAATTTGATCAGACACTTATTTTATAGCCTCTAAATAAATAGAGAATTGTAATTCTGAGTTCCGTATCCTTTTATGTTGCTAACCCCTTCCCTAGACAAGCCTTACAAAACTGGAGTTCGTAACAGGTGGGAGGAAGCCAGGTAACTCGAGAGACACCATCGCGGACACGGGGAGAACATGCAAACCCCGCACAGAAATAACCTATGTCCCAGTAAGGACCCGGCGCCATTGGTATTATTGTTGTGAGGCAACAATGCTAGTCACTGGGCCACCGTGCCGCCCGTTCTGGATAAAGGTGGAAGAAGGGGAGGAGGGGGGTTTCTTCCAGATGAAGATAGTTGTAGTAAGGAAATGAGAATATATATAGTGACTTGGGATCCTTTAATTGGAGGATCGTAATTTGCTAATGTGGGCCAGCTGAGTCAATCATGAGCACATTCTCCTCTTGAAATTAGTTTAATATTAAACTTCACTCGGTAAGTATTTAAAATAATAATTCAAAGGAGGGCTTTTCATTTTGATTTCAACTGTACATGTCTGTTAGTCACAACAATTGTGACTAACAGATATGTTAAAATGTCTATATGATAAAAAAATGAAAGATAATTCCAAAAGCAGTGCTACTAATGTGGAGTTCAGACTGCATGATTTTTAAAATAATCGTGTCACAGATTTTTTTACACTGCATCACTATCTGGGCTAGCATTTTGCCGCTGCTATGTTTACACTGCAAGATGGATCGGCGACAGGGAGTTTCACACTGCATGACTTTACAAAAGCAGAATCGCCGACAACATTGTCTAAACCACGTTTCACAACCAAAAACACAAAGTATAGCTGCGTCCCAAATGGCACACTATACACTCATGCACTATGTACTTATGCACTTACACACTCAACAGGATAGTATATGTATGTAGTGGCTTCCCAAATGGCACACTAATGTTTTTTTACTAAGCGGAAATTCAAACCGTTTCCCTGATGACGTTTGACTGTTGCCTAATCAGTGAAATAAACGACTGAATTATCAAGTAATACCTGCCGTAAGTATTGCCGAATTCACCATTGGAAGGCGCTATAATCACTCTCGTAGGAGAATTTTGCTTTCACCATCCAAAATAAATAAAGTTATTCAACATGTGTGTCCGATCGCTCCGCTCCTTCTGCTATGTAAGCAAACCTGCGGTCGTTGAGTGCGTGAAGTGTCCATCATTCCTCACTTCATTTTAGCGGCTGAATGAATGCATCATCCCGGTAATTAAAGTGCACTTATTATTTTGAGAGTTTTCAATGTGAACACACTACTTACACTATTTATACTACAAAATGGCGTAAAATAGTGCATAAGTATGCGATTTGGAACGCAGCTTATATCTTTTGTTATAAACTATATAATGAAAAAGAAGTCTTTAATGGGGTAGAAAATGTACAAATTTGCTCATCTGGGTTTAAAGGGAATTAGCAATTTCTCCTCAACTTTTTTTACTTTTTTCTTTTTATAACATTGCTCAGATGACACGTCAAACAGACACAGGTGCTCCTACCAAATATCCACTAGTTTTTCCTCCATTTCTTATGTCCAAATAAACCGAAAATGAGCGCTTTTAACTTCTCTTCAACCTCCTGCTCACCTCCCATGCTAGTGAATGCTGCTCCCTCATTGCATGTAGGTGATCGCCGATGTTATTTTCAGCCAAAACTCACTTCACACCATGATTTGAATCACCAACAGCTCCAGATATTCAGCATGCCAAATATCTCATGGGCACTCATCTGCGATTCTCTCATATCGCGTCCTTGATAGTTACTCGCGTAAACGAGCATCGATTTACCTGTGATTTCAAGCATTTGTCAGCAATTTCTCAAAACCTGTCTGTGAGTCAAAATTGGGGCTAAAATCATGCAGTCTGAACTCAGCATAAGAGTAACACTAATATACTCAATACTACGAAACAAAATGTGGACTTGAAAACTAGTACCTACTGTCAGGTAAGAGCACAGACAGAAGACTGAGACAAAAAATTAATTAAGGGGGATGAAATTGGCAGGATGGCACACAGACCACCTATTAGCTCATACCTATTTTCTCAATGGGTGTGTTGAGTGGAAGAAAGCCCTGTTTGAGCAGCTGGTCCATCATTTCATCATCATCCGTCTGGATCTCAGAGACCATGTTACAGGGGACGAGGCCCCTGCGGCCACAGATCTCTGCCCTGTAGAATCCATCTGTGTCCTTTTCTCCAAACACCTGGACAACACAGCAGGGCCATGATTAAACTCATTTCACTGCATTTTTAATTATACTCTCTCCAATGTCCCGCACTGCTGCTCTGCTCGGTTTGATACGATGGCTCAACCTCTGTTTTCTTTCTCGGATTATTCACTTATGCTTGTTTCGTTTTAATTTGCATAAAAGTGTCTGCTAATGTAATAAATGTAAATGAGCAATGAAAAGAGAAGATTAACATAAGTTCAATAGGTACATCAAAAAGCATAAGAACAATAGTCTGAACCTGTATTTCCTAAATAATATATTAATATTTATATAATATCAATATATTATGTTCATTCATCCATTGATTTTCTTTTAGGCTTAGTCCCTTTATTAATCTTTGCCACAGCCATATCACCCTGCAGCCCAAGACCGGTTACTCACTAAAGCTAAGCAGGGCTGAGCCTGGTTAGTACCTGGATGGGAGACCACTAGAGAACACTAGGTTGCTGTTGGAAGTGGTGTTAGTGAGGCCAGCAGGGGGCGCTCAACCTGAGGTCTAAGTGAGTCCTAATGCCCCAGTAAAAGTGAAGGGGACACTACACTGTCAGTGGGCGCCGTCGTTCGGATGAGACGTTAAACCGAGGTCCTGACTCTCTGTGGTCATTAAAAATCCCATGGCACTTCTCGTGAAAGAGCAGGGGTATAACCCCGGTGTCCTGGCCAAAGTCCCTCTATCGGCCCATACGATCATGGCCTCCCAATCATCCCCGTCCACTGAATTGGCTCTATCACTGTCTCTCCACTCCACCAATAGCTGGTATGTGTTGAGCGCACTGGCGCCGTTGTCCTGTGGCAGCCGTCGCATCATCCAAGTGGATGCTGCACACTGGTGGTGGTGTGGAGAGACCCCCCTCATGATTGTGAAGCGCTTTGGGTGTATGGCCATACACAATAAATGCTCTATATAAATACACATTACATTACATTACATTACATTACAATCTGGGGTCGCCACAGCGGAATGAACCGCCAATTTATCCAGCATGTGTTTTACACAGTGGATGCCCTTCCAGCTGCAACCCATCACTGGCAAACCTCCAAACATTCACACACATCCACTGCAGACAATTTAGCCCACCCAATTCACCTATACCACATGTTTTTTTTTTTTTTTACTTGTGGGGGAAACCGGAGCACCCAGAGGAAACCTACCCCAATCTTGATTGTGCCCACCACTGCACCACCATACTGCCCAAATAATATGCATTTAAATAATATATCAATATTTATATAATATTAATATATTATTTAACCCTTTGATGCACTACACGGGACCAAAGTGACCCGTCTAAGTTTATTTTTTCTTCATCTATTTTATAGCTTGTGAATCAAATATATTATACTATTATAATGGGGCGAAGCAGTGGTGCAGTAGGTAGTGCTGTCGCCTCACAGCAAGAAGGTCGCTGGTTCGAACCTCGGCTCAGCTGGCGTTTCTGTGTGGAGTTTGCATGTTCTCCCTGCGTTCGCGCGGGTTTTCTCTGGGTGCTCCGTTTTCCCCCACAGTCCAAAGACATGCGGTACAGGTGAATTGGGTAGGCTTAATTGTCTGTAGTGTGTGTGTGTGTGAATGTGTGTGTGTGGATTTTTCCCAGATATGGGTTGCGGCTGGAAGGGCATCCGCTGCGTAAAAACTTGCTGGATAAGTTGGCGGTTCATTCCACTGTGGTGATCCCAGATTAATAAAGGGACAAAGCCGACAAGAAAATGAATGAATGAATGTATTACATTAATATTATATAATACTATATTTTATTAATAATAACAATTCACTTTGATAATTAAAGTAATAACAGTAAATATATAAATTAAAGGGTGACACTTTACAACAAGGTTGTATTAGTTAATGTTATTGTAATATATTTATTAACATGAAGAATACAATGAATAAAACATTTATTACATTATTTATTCATCGTTGTTAATGGAAATAAAGTTAACTCACAGTGCATTAATGTTAACAGGAATGAATTTGGATTTTAATAATGCATTAGTAAATGTAAATTAGTAAAACTATGATTAATAAATGCTAGTAAGTACATTTATTAATGAAACTTTATTGTAAATCATGTGACCAATTAAAGTAATAATAAATAAAACTTATTATATTGATTATTATATTAATGGACTAATGTAAAATTGATTATAACACAAACACATAATATACTGCAGCATTGAAATAAAAAAAGTAATTATAATTTTATTATATTTATTATAAATATAATTATCAAACATGGCATTAGTCTGCATTTTTATAATAACTTATGTCTGAATAAAAGTAGTAAAGTAGTGGTTTATATCACATTCAGTACACAAAAGCCTTGTGAAAATAAATGTATTTATATTTTCTGGATTTATTTTAGTAACTTATTCATGATAATAATAATAATAATTAGTTTTATTATCATCATTATTACATTTACTAATCATGTAAAAACATGTCTATGCATGCTGATTATGTTACTGTATCACAGTTTGAGCCAAATACAGTGTCATAAAATGTTTGTCATTACAACTGTATATTTCAAAATTAAAGAAGAAATAATACACACCCCCAGATGCCAGAAGCTTAAATAACATCAGGGAATTATTTGACATTATTGAAATCAAACCTTTATGATCTGGCCCTCCTTGAAGGGAAGTTCCTCAACAGCAGCATCAGGGTTGGGTGACATTGACAGGGGATCATAGTCAAACATGGCCACAAAGATTCGAGACAAGTCCTCTGGCTCTGACTCATAGTAGTCTGGAGACCGCCGTTCACGTCCGTAACCATCTGAAACACAGGAGAGAGCAATCTTCTTCTACACACAGATACCACAGGGCAGCTAAAGTCCTAAAAAAGAACAGTTTGTTGTCTCAGAGGCATCAGTCGTGCTTCTATGGCAGCTAAACAGCACTGACAAATATACATACATTATGCAGCTACTTGACTACACAACAATGTCTTCTTACACCAAGACAAGAAACACATTAATATAATAAACTGATATTATACTAATCACAGCTATTACGAAAGCATATTATAAAGCAAAATTCCTTGCCACATAACACACCAGACGGGTGATATATACAAACATCTCAAAAACAGAAGAATGCAGAAAGAACACTTCCATGCAATTCAAAAGAATGAGGAAAGGGAATAAAAACATTGCTGTTTTACTGTAAAAAACATTTAGAAATTTTTTGAACAGACATGCAGCAACTCTCTAGTAATATTTTACTGGAATGATCTACTACCAGTCAAAATCGTTCCATGTGAAGTATCAAATGACCCTTTTATCTTGTACTAGACACACAAAGAAATAAATAGTAGACCATGCCAGTTAAAGGAGCTATGTGTAGGAATATTTATTTATGATTAGCTTTATCATTGCCAAAAAATTTGAACCATGTAAGTATATTGGTGCTTTGAATTACATTTAAAGGTGCCATAGAATGAACATACGGATATACCTTGTTCTCTTGTAAATCCTACTAGTGTAAAATCCTGGTAAAAAACAGGTCAATTGTAACAAACATTGACTTCATTGTTTCATTTAATAATATGCAGGTCCCAGGCTGCATTTGATTGGCCACAACATTTCCTAGTGAGATTACAACAATGATGTTGTTTTCCCGTATTTTTAGTTTATCTAATCTTTTCTATGTATGTGGGACTCTTATTTTGAGAACAGGTGACTAAAACTCACTCCGCTCTGCCTTGTCTGTACATTGCAGTCTATATGTTGCTAAGTGACACAGATAGACACTGAATGGTACAGCCAAGGTGCGTACACTAAAAAAACAATGTTAAGAATTTCAAAAGACATAGTGCATAGTGCTGGCAGTTCTCAGCCAACCATCTTTTCACAGCACATTAGAACAAAAAATGTGGTATATGTGGATTATACTATATTATTTTTTTCAGCACCATATGAAGAATCATAGAGTCTGTTTAAAATTAGTAGTGGGCCGTTATTGCCGTTATTGTGTTGCTAGACTCTAATCGCGCAATAAAAATAACATCGCCATTAATCTGTTCTCAAAGTTGGGTTAGGAGCTGGGTCTATTCTACGCAAGTGATGACTTTCACCTTGATATTTTAGCACGGATGTATACCTGACCGGTGAGCCGTCTGACAAAAAGGTGCCCTTCTGAATCAAATCAGCAGGATTCCTGACTTTAACTGCAGTTTGGCAGTTTCACTTAAACTCATGAACATTTCAATCATGCCGCTGTGACAAACTGAGGTATTAGATGCAAATAAGGAGTAAGGACTGGTGAGAGTGTTATGGAATTTAATAACGCACGCCAAGTGGAAAGAAAAAAACTTCTGCGTTTTGCGATGTGTGTGTGTTATTGTGTGCAGTCCTTTACTGACAGCCGCGTGTGTGGATCCTGTAGGAAAATATGACGAAAAGTCCAACATGACGGTAATAGTTTGATTGCGGTGTTTACTTCAATAATGCCACTAATATATGCATACTCCACATGTCTTAATTTCATTTCTGTTTAGTTTAGTTATGACTTTCATCGGATTAAGGTGATCAAAAATCGCTTATAGTTCAAAATTCATGTTTAACTGAATAAATAATTAGTAAACACATGTACATCTTATTGAACACATTTACTTTAACAGTTACATTAACATTTATATTCATTACCAATTATTATAGTAGAACAGTTTCTCATGCAGTTTGTGAATTATTTTTAGTAAACAGGAGATAAGCCCCTGGTCTAATGCGCCACCTGGCTTGAGAAACCCGTTCAGTTGAAAAGATTTTTAAGGAATCTACTCATTTTTTTATATGTGTTTTTTATTAGAATTGAATATTTTGTACATGCTTATTTTAAAGTACATCACAATGTTTGTGTATGTTTGAAAGCAGACACTGACAAGATAAAAGGTTATTAATATTCAGCACCGTTCCAAATATGGTTAAAATTGAGCTGTTGTTATAAATGGGTATAAAATCATTTACAGTATGTAGAATTTTTTAACTTACCTAAACAACAAACCCACTATTGGAAAACAATTTTAATTATTCAATCATTGCACTCTATGGCACATTTAATATCTTAAATGTAAAAGCAACATATTGCTGGCTGTAGTTTGCTTTATGGCCACCACTGTCCCCAATAACAAGGGTTTCTGAATTCCTCATTTAGCCCCTTTAATTATAAGTGTATATGCTGTGCAGCTGATATAAGTAAATCATGCACCCAATTACTGATAGGAATAAGATTATAACACTTACAAGCAGCATTAAAAATACATTTATCATGGTCCTCAATGAAAGTGAAGGCATATCTGCTCTTAACGTTTGTGATCTTACAACATCCAACAGTGAAAAACGCACATGCATGAAACAACTAAAGAAAATTCAGGGTAAATGCAGATGGATGAAGATAAAGACAGCAAGGGGAGCAAGAGGGGTTCACAAACACTTTCTGGTGTTTAAGACCACACAAGAATGAGCACAAACGAAGGAGCAATCACTCGGAAGCCTAACCTAAACCTAGTCATTAAAAATAATTCCACGTCATGGAAATAAATAGTAAAATTATTGTATAAAAATAAAAATTGCCTCTGATTTTTACTGCATATACTGCCTCCAGATTAAGTCCTTAATAAGCATATAAAGGTAGACTAATATTAAAAATAGTTCAAAAAATATGCCTCACACTATCTGTTACTGACAGGATCCTGCATGTCTATCTTTGTAAAAAAAAGGCAGCTTCTGTTCTTTTTGAGTCAGGAATACAAGTAAAGCTCTAGTGACTGCCTGCTTATTTTTAAATTTAATAAATCTGTATAAATCTAAAACATAAGGTAATTTTCAATAAACTGCAGGTTTATCTGTGTTTTTTAGTTACACAACTGCCTCAATTTTCTTTCTACTCCTTTTATGCAATTTAGACATGACAAAAGCTGAAAGATTGAATGGGACTCAAATTGGACAGGGTTAGTAAAAAAGGGTCATATTACACTAGAGTACTATTAGCTACTGTTTAGCTATTGCAATTTTACATCTGAGACTAATTGTTCTGACCATTTATTCTGGTGTCATAATTATAAATGAAGTCCCAAAACATTTGTGTTTGGTAAACATGATGTTACAGAAGCAGTCAATAGAGCTTACCTTGTATTTTCATTTAAAAACCCCATGAAATCACCTAAAAAATGCAATCTGGTTTGCTACACTGATGCTTTATTATACAGAAACAAGATGTTTGGATCAGACACAAAGTCTAATAAGTGCATAAAGAAAATAATTTTTTTTTAGAGGGCTTATTGTTATAGTACATACATTTGTATTAAATTTCAGTTGCAAAAAAATAATAAAATAACACAAATTGTCACATAAGTTTCCTAGTTTAGCATATTTATTTATTTTTTTAATCAATCAATTAATGGTGGTTGCAGATCTTAGGGTGGGCCTGTCATGCTGATGTACCACAGGGCTCGGTTCTCAGCCCTTTACTTTTTAGCATGCATGTTTTTGAAAGGCTCAGTTTGATCGCTTTGCTTTAAATACATTTTCAAAAGGCTATTATAAATTGAATTCAGACTAAAATGTATGTCTCCGATTTTTATCTCACAACTATTCCAGGCGCTATATAAAATACAGTTTATACTTTAGACGTAATCTACAAAATACATTTACACAGTAAATTGCCATAAAGATGATCGCTGCTAAAAACAAGCTCATCTTGAATCCGATTTTACTCAAACTTTGTGAAATAGGCCATTTAAAGCAAATAGGTATTAACTAAGCGACCTAAACAAACTTCATTAGATTTCATGGGGTCTTTAAAAAAGATGCAAGGTTTTATTAGAATTTCTTTTTCATGGAGGAGCCACGCCACGTACCATATCGGTGCTCTGTTCGCTGTGCGGGCCATTTCCTGCGGTGGGCTACATTGGTATAGTAAACATCGTCCTTGATTGGTGAGAGGTTCCCCTCACTCCCCTCACTGTTATTCTCCATGGTAATCTCTACGAAAACACCAATCAGAGTATTATAGCCACAGCCCTTCTACTCGTCCCATGAGTTGTGGATTTCAAGGCTCATTAGATGTGTTTTAGGATCAGAAATGCCATTCTAAAGCAATAAAGCATAACAGAAAAATGATGCAGTGATCCTAAAACACTATTGAAAGCCAGCTGATATGAGTTGTTCCAGAGTAAAACAGCAATGTTCAACATCATGATGTTTTGGGTTTTTTTTTTTTAGGTGTGGCCTGTTAGGAGTATGATCAGTACACTAAATTTTCTGTCGTTAAATTAACTCTCTCTCCTTTTATTGTTTATAAATCTGAAGCAGGATAATTGTCAAAGGTCAACAAGCGGTGGGGTACATCAAGGGACTCCCAGGGCCTATGGGACATCATGACATGTACAGGTAAGGAGAACAGAGGAACACACAGTAGGTGTCTCTACAAATGATAATAAAGAGAGGAAGGAGAGTCCGATGATCATGTGGCTACACTAACCAATAGAAGGGACCGTCATTGGTCTTCTCTGAGCTGGTGGACAGCCATGACCTGTCCTACGGCCAGAATGGTCCAGTCGATCCGAGCGTCCCGTTGAGGGAGAGCTCCCTAAAATCTTCAAAAGCAAATAATCAAATGTTAATTGAAGCTTGTGATGCCTTAAAAAAGAAAAATATCCTATTTTAAAAAAGATTCCCATCAACCCCCCCAAATAAAAAAAACTGATCTCTTTAGATAAGGGGATTCTAGTCCCAAGAGAAATCAAAACAAGGAGGATGAACCCGGCAAAACATTAAACATAAACAATTGAAACAAACTCTGACAACAACATGAGCAGGGTTTTGGCAGAAATCAGATGCTTAACTAAAGACCATTTTGGTTTTTGTTCTGCTCCTTTTTAGTTCATATGGGAGTGTTTTGAACATATTTTGCAAGATGCGAGCTCATTCTTATTCAGCATTGGCTGCCTATGCTCTTATTATTTTGAAGAGGTACAACTTTAAAATAACTATTCACATATCCTGTAAATGTATATATGGGATTAATATCTTAATCACCACAAAACGTCAAGAGAGATTTTTCACTGAGAATAACGGATGATTTTAAAATATTATTGCTTCTTGATCTGTCGATTTGGTCCCCCATGAAATATTTATAATCTTATTCCATTAGTCCAAAAACTATTGTATTTGAATAAGTGTATGTGTAGAAAAAACGTTTGGAAGCAAAACACATCAAAACAACAATGTAATGTATCTCAATTCAGAGAAGAGTTATTTCTTCGACTCAATGCACTGTGTGGCACAACTGGTTTATGCAAAGTAAGCATGATGCAAACTAGTTTTAACTGTGAAGCACAATTATGATTGGTTGCAGACGAAACAAATAAATCCTCTTTGCCTGTTTCAATCGGTCATACCACATGGTTCATTGGCTCGCACAAATAATTAAATTTGTTCACACTAGGCTGTTGAAAGTGCAGATTCATCATTCATTTGGTATGTTTGGCTTCCTACAAGCACTTTTACCAGCCTTGTTCCTGGAGGCATGCCGACACCAAACAATTTCATACTCTATTGAATTAAACTCACAAATTCTAAAATGGATGGATCCATTCCTGCTTTCAGGAACAGGGATGGAAAACCCTTCTTTAAAATACTAAGCTTGAATCTAAAGTGTAAATTTGAGGTCTGAGTAAACGTAATCCTTTTATGTGAGACTCTTCTTCGCACAGAAACAAGAAACACTCAGAAATGGCCTTTAGGTAATCAAAACAAATCTACACATTCAAAAAATTTCACTCGACAATCTAGGAATCAAACAAAGTCACATGAGAACAAATCAAGAAATTCAAGAAAGATCTAACAAGCTAAACCCCCCCCCCAAAAAATCAATAGCAGTATTAAAAGGTGAACTCAAACAACAACATAACAAAGTTAAGCAAAGTCAAGCAAAACAGACCAAACGAAAAAAGCAAAGTAAAAAGAACAAAACCAAATGAAACAATGACAGACTGGGTGGTACACCATGAACAGAAGAATGACTTCATTGCTCGTCGATGGGAACACAAAGCAGTTGGTAGATGAGGAGAGGGCGGAAGGGTGAGAGGAGGGGTAGGAGACACACACCAGGGGTTCATCCATTGCCCTGTTGAGTCTGGCCACAGAGTAGGCCCTAATGTCCCTGTGATAGGTCCTGCCAACCTCGCTCAGCCTGCCCTCGCTGCGGAATCTGCGCTGGGGATGGTGATGGTGCGGATGGTAGTGGTAGTGGTGGTACGACTCTCGCATGCTCCTTGTCTCTGGAATGGCATCGAGGAAGTCCTCCTCCACACTGCACTGCCGGGTCAATGTCCTTTTCCTGCCAGCAGCAAGAGCGCGTCGCTCCACCGGTCCCTCGCTGTGGATTAACCGCATGTTAGGGCCAGAACCCACACGCAGTGGGCTGCCCCCCATGTAAGAGTGGTAGCCTCCGCGGTAACCAAGAGAACCCTCCTCCTCACTGCCGCAGTCTAGTCCACTGTCAGGGCTCTTGGTGGTCTGCCTGCTACTACTGCTGCTCCAGCATGGCGGACGCTCCTCTATTGAGGTGTAGCGTGGAGAAGAGCGTTGCCTCTGCAGCCTACGAACACACTTGCTTGGGGAGAGGTGGTTTGACTGGCGTGAGTCTTGGTGGTAGGGCCGTGGGCTTCTGCAGGGAGTACCTGGACGAGCCTCCTCGAAACGCAGGCGCTGGCCCATGACCTCCACTCCGGTGTCTGGATCCTCCTCTGCAACCTCCGGGATGCTGTGAAGCCGCTTGTGTGATCGCAAGGAGCGCTGTCGTACCACCTCCCTCTGCAGGTCCCAACTGTCTCTCTCCACCGCTAGATCCTGACGCCTGTAATACGCCTTTTAGAGAGCAGAGAAGGTGATGGACGAAGGAGGAGCCAAAGTTTCAGTTAGATTTGGACGTTTTTCAATTAGTTACAATTGGGATTGGTTTTTGCAGGTTTGTTTGATGGCGTTAGAACAGGCAGAGAAGATAAAACAGTGTGCAAATAGAGAACAAAATGGGAAAAGAAAGACAAAATAAAGACAGAATTAGTTATCGGAGGTCATGGCCAAATGTAGGGCATGCAGTCTCATTCCATGACGGACATGACATGCGACGGAAGGGAATCTGTAGAAGGAAAAGGCCAGGTAATGCAAACCACACAGAAAATGAGAACTGGAGAGTATCACATATGCAGGGCTCATTGAGACGATCCACTAACAAAGCACAGTCCAACAACAACAACAACAACAACAAAAATTTACAGATGAGAATTCAGAACACAGATTATTAAGAAATTAATGACAGGCAATTAAAATATCATGACTGACGAATCTACAGACTATACATGAATGAAAAAACGAAAACAACAAAAAAACAAAATGGAGATTCATCTGCCAAGCATAAAGTGAATTGTGTTCAAAAGTTGATCAGTAACCTGGAATGGAAATTTAACAAATATTATTAAAAATACAAATATTTTCTAATAATTTAAAATTTAAATCCGAAAGTGAAATTTCTACATCCTCATTCATGTTGCAGATATTTTGCAGTTAAACTATGGCTAAAATGATGGCTATGTCGATGGCTAAAACAGTATACATATATTTCTTAAACAAATCTATATATATACAGTGGGGGGAAATATTCAACATGTCATGTTTTTCCTGTTTTAATTTTTTCAAAAAGAGCTGTTGACATGGAATTGAACCAGATTTCGGCAAAAACCCAAAGAATACAAAGATAAAAATAAAACAAAACAAAACAAAAAATCTGAAAAACGTGTTATGTGTAATAACAATGGAATGACAAAAAGAAAGTACTGAACTACTAAAATATATTTAATACTTTATATAAAGGATAAAAGGCTTTTTTTTTTTGGTGATGGCAGCTAAAAGACTTCTCATATGGAGAAAAAAGTCACATGCATTGCTCAGGTGTAAGTTTTTTCACAGACTTCAACAGAGTGTAAAAATCTTGATAGTTCTGTTGGTCTCGTCTACAAAATCTGATCTTTATTTTGAAGTTTGTATTGGATTCAAATCAGGCGATTGGCTGGGTCATTCTTCAGCTTGATTTTCTTTCTCTGAAACCATTTGAGAGTTTCCTTGGTTGTGTTTTGGATCATTGTCTTGCTGAAATGTCCACCATGGTTTCATTGTCATCCTCCTGGTAATGTTGATGTTGGACTGAAGCAGCTGATATTAATTTACAATAACAATGGGCAGAAGGTTGCTGAAAATCTACTGAGAGATTTCAGCTGCTGTCTGGGCTTTCACTGTTTTTCTACAGCTCCCTTTCTTCATGCATTCAATACTTTTTTCCTGTGTCATTTCATTTTATTACACATAACCTAATTTGTAAACTAATTAGATTTGTTTTCTTTGCATATATAGATTTCTTTGGTTGCTACCAATACCCAGGGAAAATTTCCAGTCAACAGCACCTTTAAAAATATGTTTTCTGAGAAAATGTTGACATGTTGATCATTTATAATATATTAAATAAATGTTTTTTATTTTTTTGTATTTGATATATTGCTGTAATGTTGTACTAAGCAAATATCAGATCATACAAAACTGTGCACTTGAAAGCAAAACATACCTAAAGACAAAGCAATATAGTCTACATAAGGTGATAGAATTTCATACCACAATCCCAATAGCTGCTCAGGTCTCCAAAAAGATAACTCAAAAACAAAAATGACAAGAACTGAAATATAATACACCATTTATTGCTTCATTTATTCAATACATAGCGTATTTACGTTGGTAACCTTTTCTGTATAATACTTACTGATATAAAGGCGGAAAGAAGTCTTAACAATAGTAGACATTTTTCATGTGGAAACAGATATTCACAAAATTTGAAAATTACACTGAGAAAAGTAAAACTTAACAGAAGTGTAACCATGAGACAAACATAATCAAAAGTGAATAACTTGTTCATTTAAGCAAGACTTGACTTAAATGAGATTCCCAAAATGCCCTTGGAATGATAGTGCATTTCACTTGATCATCTAGGTCCTAATTTGACACTTTAAACAGGATAAATTGATGTAATACTTGTACATACAGTAAACACACCCTGTTGTTTTTTTAAATAATATTCACAAATACAAAAATCGTGGCATAATATTCCATGAGATTAACACTTCAGGCATAGCAAACAAGTTCACAGTTTATATATCTGCACAAATGTGATTGTCATATGCAATAAATCTAAGAATCTGCTAAATAATCCTGTAAATTCAAAATAGCAAGACCCAGTTCTACAATATATAGATTAGAATTACTAATATTACTACTATATCCAGATCAAATTAGACTAGCTACAAATGCATAGTGATGCAATACTTTAAACTCAACAACACATTTTGTAACGTCTGGAGGGCATAAAGCATATCAGATTGTCTACTCATGCATTGTGTGTGCAGCCTCGGGTTAAGCCATTCCGATGTATCAAGCTTTGTATGACTGGACAGGCTTATACAAAGCTAGCTAAATGACTGGATGACATTGAAGTTCGGTTGTGCAAAGCGCCCCGCTTTAGGACCAAGGATAGACTGAGGATGGGGTGACTGATTAAGATCCTGCTGCTAAAGCTTACAGCATCAGAGGTCTAACCCCCCCCACAAACCCTGACTTTAAAATCTCTATCACAAAAGCACACACTCACAGACCAAAAAAATAAATAAAAATTTTAGCTAGGGTCCACGAAGCTTAACTAATCACAAAAACACTCTTACCTCTATGAAACACTATAATTAAACTGCGTTTGGCCTTTCAAACCAATTCTTAAATGTCTCAACCATCTAGTACCACCCACCCTTCGGAGGAGCCCTACAGACCACGGCATACTCCACCCCCCTTCGTCTGTCCCAGCCTCTAGCCTGCGGCCCTGTGGCCCACCCCCAAGACAGACGGCGGCTGGTGGGGTGTCTGTTCCATACCTTTAGCGTGTTGTGTGAGTTGATGCTGCGTCGGCGGCCTTCTTCCAGCTGCATCTCTGAGTACAGCTCCTCCTCATCCTCCTCCATAATGTCGGACAGATCGGAGCCCCGACTGCTCTCGGTGTAATACTCGTCACTGTGACTGTAGTGATGATGCTGGAGATACAGGCGTAGAGATTTTTGTGAATTAACAAAAACACCAGGGGGAAACACTGGAGTGGTTTTAAAGGAAATCTGATTGAACTAATCTGAATCCCAGCGGCGTAGCTACAGTAGGAATTTTGTGCAATATGAGTCTATTCTGAAAAGTATCTGTAAAGACAACGTGAACAAAATGTATGAGCAAAAATGGAATAGTCGCATACATATTTGCGGATAAAGCTGTTTCCATTCAGTAAGTCAAGGAGAATAAAATCGTCCCTTCCTGATAAACTGGTGTTAAATATACCCCAAAAATGCACTTTAAATGGCCACTTGAAAAATTAGGGCTGAGGTATTTATTAATGAATCTATTAATGGACAGAAAGCAATTCCAATGACTTCGAACAACCAATTTAGACAGAATGGCTTGAAGAAGAGAAAATGTCCAGTGAGCAGCAGCTTCTTTGTTGATGTCAGAGATAAAAAGACCACATTAGGTCCAGAATTTATCACATACTCTATTGATTCATCTTGACTTGAGTCAATGGTTCTGCCTGGTTTTGATGGTGTAATGGTGTGGGGGGTAGTTTCATGTCATACTAACTGTCGGTACCAACTGAGCATCAGTTAAACACAATAGCCAACCTGATCATTGCTGCATTCCGGAGTGGCTGCCAGCAGAACGTGAAAAGCCACAAAGCTCATATTATCATCATCTGGTGTCTAGTACACAACATGGAGTCAAATGGCCCACACAGTCACCAGATCTCCATACAATAAAGCCCTTTTTGGGATATGCAGGAATCGGTCTTTACTTTATGTATGCACAGCGGACATATCTACAGGAACCATAGGATGTTTTTTTATGTCAGTAAAAACCAAAATCTCAGAACATGGTTTCTTATATGTCATTGAACAATGATCCAACCCAATACTGGCAAGTACACCTACACTGTAAAACCCAACAGTCAACTTTATCAATTAGATTGATGAGTGTAGTTAATTCAAAATTGACTGAAAGTTAATTCTACTCTAAAAGAGTTTTGAACATAGTTTTGAAGGTAATGAGTTGATTAAATATCTCATTACTTCAAATTAAATGGAGTAAATTTGCAGTCCTCATATCATATACTCATATAAGTTTAAAAATATTCTATATGATTATTAAAAAGTCTACTTAGCAGAAATATAATATCTATGTAACAGTATAATATAAACATAAATAGTTCAATGTAAAATGATACGTGTAATGTACATTTTAGAGTGATTTGTTTAGCCTACACAGAGTACGCATAAGAAATGTCAATTTGTTGTAATGGAAATGTTTGTAGCAATAGCTATGTTTCCACCCAAAGATGCGAATTAGATTTATGCTCAAATCTGGAATACCACATAAAACATTTGTGAAAAAAGCATTGTTTCCATCCAATGAGTCAAAGAGAAAAAAAAATCATCATTTCCCATAACTGACACCAAATATCAAAAAGAAGAACGGAAATTGGTGTGTTAGGTGAAGCCATTGTGAGCCTTTCTTCTTCTATAACAAACTACTTGTGCCTCAGAAGACAGACACAATGCAATGAACATGCAGTGGCTTTTAAAGGTGCGAGACAGACATTTCAGAGTGCAGCTGCTCAAGTCCTGGAATGTACTGTAATAATATCAAACGATCTTGATGATAGACATAGCTTAGAGAATTGTTAAATCACCAAGAATTTTAAAATGTCTATAAATGCCATCCCACTGCATCCATTTCTGCTATCACACGATCTGTTAAAGGGCCATGACACCCCCCACTTTCGGTTAAAGTCTACTTCAGAATTTTTTCAAAAGATGCATGATTAATGGGCGTGGAGCTCCACGAGCATCGGGCAGGAGTGGGCGTGGCCAGCAAGGGAGAAGGGGAGTGAACAACTGTTGATGTTAGTTAGCTCACAAATTGAGACAAACCAGGAGGAGACGCATGAGTTTATAGTTTACAGTTAAAATAGTTTAATATAGTTAAAATGCAAAGAAATAAACAGTAATTTAATGCCCTGCTACATTTGTTATTCGTATTTTCATATACAGACAACCACAATTTATATCATTATAAAGATAATCGTGTTCATATAAAAACTATAAATGAGGACTTCTCCCTCAATCCCCGGGTCTGAATCATAGATCTAAATGCAGACTCAGTGGAGCAGGTCTCCTGACCTGTCTATTTTAACCATTAGTCCTGCTGGTAATCTGGAGGATTTAGGCAAACACAGCAGCACGACGATGTGTCTGGATGTGAATGAACTCCTGATACAAGACAACATCCGCCATTCTCCAATTCTCGTGCTGCTCTCCCGACAAAAATCCTTGCATCACACACACAGCTTTGCTGTATGATCGGCCCTGACAGGATCGCGGGGAAAAACATGCAACAAACCCCGTGGATCATGGAAACAAACACATACGAGCCTTCATAAACGGCTACTGCGTGCCGTGGGTCTGTGTCTCACAGCTTGAGCTTGGCACTGGTCTGCCAGGTCTGCGTCTGCCTTGCCTTCGGAAAGCACGTGCTGTCGAATAAGGAATAATTAAGCAGCCGGCTCTTCTCATAGGATAAGGAAACTCCGCTTTGAATAATAATGAGAAACCGACGCGTCATCATTGCACTTGCGGTACTTCGCTACGTCGCTGATTTTGATTCCTCCACAAAAATCATTTTAAACCCGGAAGCTGAAATTAGCTGACAAAAGATCAAAATTATCCAGTTTTGCCCACAATTAAAGCTGACAGGTGCTAACATTGTCTTAACTGATGCTCAACACACACACACACACACATCTGTTAATGTATAAAAAAAAGTTCTCCAGTGTGTCCTGAACCTTTAAAACAAAATCATATGACATTTTTTTTATGTGCATGCTGGAATTTGTTCTGTAAATCTCATCAGATAATTCACATTTTTTCTTCACAGCTAAAAAGTTTACTCAGTTGGGCGCACACGTTTTATGTGCATTTTTAAAGTTTTTGTGTGATTTTCCATAATGCACAAAAACCAGGTGAGTAGAAACATAGTTACATAAAAATAATAATAATAATCCACTACTACCTCTTAGGCCACTTACGTGTCTGCCGAGCTCAGAACCTCTCAGAAACTCGTCCACAGAAGCTCCTTTTCGCCTGGCATGAGGGGAATCGTACCCTTCCTCTTCCTCATCTGAGTTTAAAGAATGCAGGGCATTTCCCCTGTCGCTGAAGATGTTCCTCCTTTCCACCTAAGAAAAGATCACAACAATCATGTACAAAATATCCTGCCATGCTGCTGCAGTGAGCGCTATCAACTTCCTCCTTTCCTCACCCTGCTGTTTGGGGCATTTCTCTGCGCTGCCTGGCGGGCCATAGCGCGGGCCACTGTATTGGGAATGGGCACTCCCTGAGGTTGAGGTAAGATCCTCTGAGGGGAGGGTGAGCGCCGACCCTCTACATGAGGGGGCTCCAGCGTGTGTCCATGGTGAGAATGGTGCGGTAGGGGTGATGGTGCCCGGGGATGCGGCTCCCAGGGCTGCCCCATTCGCCTGCCCATCTCTGACTCTTTGGCATGGGGGTCTCTGGCACTTGGTAGGAGTTTGGGTTTAGACATTGGGTACGAGGAATGTGGGGGGTGGATGTGGGGTTGTGGATGAGGATGGGATGGCGGCATGGAGTGAGGCTGGACGTGCGGTTGTGGATGGGTAGGGGGATAGGCTTGCGGGTATGGCGGTGGGTGAGTCTGAGGGTGAGACTGGAGATGAAGGTGTCCATGGGGGTGAGGCACCAGGAGGCTGTGTGGAATGGTGGCCACGGGAGAGTCCTGCGACTCTCCTTGTGCTGATATTGTCCTCACAATGACCTCCCGTGCTTCCAGACACTGGATACGGTTCAGCTCCACCGTAACGAAATCTGCTGTAGGGTGCATTATCTCTGCTATCTGAAAACAAACAAACAAAAGAAATGTGGGATAAACAGACGTGCCTTTGCAAAGATAAGCAATAAGATACCATTTATTCTGGTTCAGACAGACAATTATTTAGAATTTTTATCTTGTTCTGTTATCTTATTTATTAATTCAGCTGCAATCACTACAGAGGTAATCTTTTTATGAACAGCATATCATATTTTTTAATTAAAATGATAATAATATAAAAAAAACATGCATAAACATGAAACATATTTTCTGATATACCACATTTCCTTTCACAGGCCTCACCACAGTTCTTTATTCAATTCTAGTATTTTAGTGCAATATAAATAAGTATTTAGTGAAAATAAAATAATAATTAAATAATTTAAAATCGAAATATTTATTATTATTAATATATATATATATATATATATATATGATGTTAATCATAAAAAAAAAAAATATTTAAACAAATATATCTGTTAATTCTCATTAATTCTCTATTCCCTAGACTTTACAATACATATGATTTAGAATTGGTAA